GTAGTGCTGGGCGGTATACCGGTTCATACTGAATACCGGTGTTTATTTTTGTTATGATATGAATTTTTAAAATAACGCAATACCAGTGTATGTCGCTTAAACAACGTTCGGAACGCGACACTGTTTGAAAGGGGTCCCTTTTCACTGTTGCACTGTGGTGAAGGAACAGCTGTATGTGTTACCAAGCGTGAAAGTTCCGAAACTGAAACTGTAGAACTAATAGAATGTGATTACTAGTGCCGTGTTCGATACATCGATACGACGATGTATCGTCACAGAGATTTGACGATACGAGTATCGATACAGCTGGCCCTGTATCGATATTGTGGCACGGGTGCAGCAGTGGACTTAATTTGAATACAAGAGCACCGTTTAAAATTGAGTCTGCTTCAAATTTTGAAATTATACAATGTAATTTAGATTAAAAAATCCTCATGTTGAATGTATGCAGCATCTTTGTTTGGATAATGATTATTATTAAGATTGCCTCTCATTTTAATTGGAAAGAGCACAGACAAAGCCTTATTTTGTTTATATGAAGATATTTCTTTTGTGTTACTTATTTATTTGATTTGGGGCTTGTTTTAAAATGTTAATTTAGTTTTGTTATTTACATTTACATTATATTTAAATTTTGTTGTTTAGCAGATGCTTTTATCCAAAGCGACTTACAAATGAGGACAATAGAAGCAATCAAAACCAACAAAAGAGCAATAATATACAAGTGCTGTATTAGTATATTATTATAGTGTTATATTTCAATTTCACAAAGAAACATGCAGCATTTTGTCCAAGCAATAATAAAAGGACACATTTATAATTTGTCTTAAACCTCATTTTGTAAAAAAAATAAATAAAAAATCGTGAATCGAATCGTGAAATCAAAATTGTGAATCGAATCGTGAGTTGAGTGAATCGTTACATCCCTAATCACATGCACTTTTTTGTTTGTTGTTTGTTACTCTGACGCAAACTTCGTGTTTAGTCACTATTTAGTGTGGTATTTTTTGACAATATTCACTCATAATATAATATATACATAATACAGTAAAATAGGGCCTTCTAAGTCAATATACTGCAGTATTTCCTCTCTCAATCAGTAGAAAATATGGTTAACACCTGGTCATGCATGAAAAAAATCATTTTGAAAAATACCGTGATATACATTTTTGGTCATACCGCCCAGCACTAATATATGGCCATTTTTGCTAAATTGACGTGTTTCAATTAGGTGCATTTTCAATTTCAATTTGCGCAATTTGAAGAGTAATGGAAACGCTCCTAATCTTGAATTAGACTGTGGCATATTATCCATATTATAAGTACTTGTTCTTCTAGTTTCTAACAAGTTCACTTAGTAAACTCAGTTTTTTGTGCCACAGACAAAAGACCTCAATAAGATGTATTGAAAAATCTCTCATGGTGCAATTCAGGGAAAACATGACGGCACACCAAAAGCTCATATTACTTTTATTACACCCATCACAACAAGTCCTAGTTTACCAATGAGAGAGTGAAGCAACAGATATGTCATCCTGCTAACTGTTCTCAGAGGATTGTGGAGTGGTGTAGCTTAGAGGTTAAAAATCTAAATGAAACTTTGGGGGTTTGAACCCCAGAAGGGATAATCCATGAACTTTTATGACTGGTCAGGTGACAGATCACAAGACACATAACCTTAGATTATTCCAGTGGGACAGTCCCTTAAATAAATGCATTATACATTGAGCTGAATACTCAAAGGTCAGTAATCATTACTGTCAGCAATCTACAAGTTTAGTTAGCATTTGGCTATAAATGTGGAGCTCAAACAATAATCTGAACCGTTAGGCAGTTCAGAGGATTATTTTGGCCAGTGTATTTTACCTCTCTATCAATGACGACCTCTCAGTAATTCAGCAAGTAGGCATTTAGCCAAAGCTTTTAGTACACAAATAACAGGTTCAGTGCTCCTGGAATAACCCAAGGTTAAGTGTCTTAAGGGATCAATCGCTTCATCTTCAAATCAAACCAACAACCTTTCAGTTAACAGATGCTCAATCACAAAGCTATCATCTAATACCATAAGCATAGGTTAACTAAATGAATATCTGACATTCCAAAAGCAGTTTAGGTATTATAAACATCATAAGAAGTCTGGAGATAAGGTGGCCCTGAGGGAGATTTGTGCCACCATAAAATCCTCCATTAAGATGCTGCTGCATAATAGTCATCCTAAAACAAAGCCACTCTAATGCACCTCAACCCCTCAAATCAGAGGTTCTGTGAGGGGGAAACTGCTACATCAGAGACACTGACAATTAGGGCATTTCTTGTTTTCTGTGAGCTGCAACATTTTCTCAACAATGTGACTTTTTGAGTGCTTGATACATTGTTTCTCGTGCTTGTAAGTCACCTGTAAAATTGTATGCCATCTCTGTGCCACTTTACAACATTGGATAAACAGAAAATGACACGCCTTTGTGATTGACATATTAGCATCAGTCAGCAGGACAAAAATATCAATAGAACAGAATTAACTTCCAAGTTTACTACAGTTTTAGTAATGAAGAGTCCCCTACCTGTTCATTCACTGTCAGTTTAGAAACACATACCATTTGAAGTTTAATGCCACGTTCACACACTGACAACATTTAAGTAGCTAAAGGTCTCTGCCGCGGGATTTTAACAGTGTCACAGGTGGTAGACCACTGTCTGCACTCTCATTGGTAGTCGCACTGCGCATTTGCATAAACTTTGTTGCATCGCCAATAGTCACGTCTATCTCAGAAATACATAAATGCTTATATTAAGCTCAAATATAAATGGTATAAATAATTACTGATAATATTATAATTCATATTATCGATATTCATATTACCGTAAATATTCATTGTTTTAAAATGATTTGATTCAAAGTTCATATTTAAAACTAAATCAAAACAGACATTTAAACAATTTATCGGTTGTAAAAATAAATAACAAACAATAATAATAGTATAAGACAAAATGACGAACCTTCCCACCAATAGTGCTCGGCCACCAGTTTGTATGTGTCGTCCAGGGTGTGGTGCGACTTGCCGGGTCCTTTCTCGTGGAAGGTGGCTACGGACTGGAGTCGCTTATCTTCAGCCAGCACCTCCCGGTACTGGACGAAACCCTTCTCCAACTTTCTGCAGTAAAGAGAGCCGCCGATGACCTCGAAGAAGGTAGAAGACGCGACGGACGCGCAGCCGCCGTTCACGTACCCCTCGCGTTCACGCTGCTCGTCCGCAGAGAGTTTAGAAGTGCGAAAGGTGGCATCAGTGTCATACTGAGCACTGTAGGTGCATTCACTTGCCATTTTTTTAACAGATTTATTTTTCAAGACACTTCTACTTTCAGTGCCGTTTGCTTATAATCGTTCCTCCTATGTGTAAAAAGCAGAACTTTTTAACTTGGCTTCATCCACCGACATTGAGACGTTTCTGAAATCAGAGATGCTCAGAGAAGTTTTAGCATCGGCTGAACATTCAAAGGACATGCACAGCAAACCCTCAAAATTGTTATTTAAGTAGTAAGCGTAATTAATAATATTATGAATAAATAAGACTTATTTAACAGGTCTCAAACATCCAGGTTGCTGTTTTGAAGATGATCTCGACTACTAGCTTAAGTATTAAGTATACAATAAAGTCCATCATCTTTGGTGCTCAAGATGTGCCGGATATTTTCATCACATCCTATCAAACGTGAAAGACAGCAACTCCATAAGATACTGAATTCAAGACAGAGGTGCAACTTCCACCATCAAAAGCCATAAATCAATCCCGACCACTGTTAATAATTAAAATTATGACCAAGAAACTAAATAAAAATAAAAACCGAAGCATAGACGGTAAGTTTTTCAATAGCCTGGTTGTCCTGGGAAACTGAACTACACACAATCACACAGAAATCGATCGAGTGACAAATGTCTTGAATCCTCTCACTCTGTCAAACATGCAGTGGCTGCCATCAATTAATATGAAATTATTATTTCGCCAGGTACTTTAGGGCCTCTTTCATCAGATGTAACTGCACTTGAGTCAACAACGTCATAATAGGAGATGCGAGCATCCGAATTTCTCGGCGGCCAGCAGTAAGAATCGCGAGGAAGGGTCTTCCTCTTGCGCGTGCAACTTGTGATTTCTTGAACTCGGTCTCAGCACGCCGCAGCTAATCTGTCGCGCCACCTATGCGCGTTACGCGGGGGTCTTCCCGAAACACATCCAAACGGAACGGCGGCTTCCAAAATCAACAGTATCATCCGCGGGTTCCCCTTAACGTGCTCCGAGTCAGTTCATGTAACGTTAAAGCCAGTCAGATGATCAAATAATCCAATATTTAACTCGTAGTCCTCTGTTGGTTTCTATTCGTCAACCTAACATCGCCTCGACGCCCAATTGCCTCACCCCCTCCCTTTCTCGAAGCCTATTGGTCGAATGATTAAAGAACAGCTACTGCGGACAACGCCATTGGCCCTTGAAGCTGTCACTCACCTTGCTGTTTTCCCTACTTTTTCCCTTCATGAAGATAGGTTGTTGACGTCAGCGTTACCTTACTTAGTGTCAAGTTTATCAATATAAAAAAGGACAACAGTGTGAAAATATTGTTTCGCTTCGACTCGTTTTCATTTTGGCCCCTCATAAGACATATGAAGCTTCACATTCTCGTGTTTGTCTGCACGATAAATGTGTCGATAGATTATGTCACAGTTAAGGTTATTATTTATTAATGCATTGTGCAATGTATGCATGGTTGTTCAAAACTATTGTCGTTTTCGTATATTTCGTCAAATGAATGAAGAGGAAAATGCTCAAATAAACGTGTATTTTTAACACAGTGCTGAACTGTGTACCTTTTATTATAAAATTTTTATTATAAAAACAACACAATCTGGAATTATTTTAGAGGAAACAAATGTAGCTTTATTGTCTGAATTTTTAATTTAAAAAAAAATCCTAATTTTTTTAATAATAAAAAAAATCCTAATTTTAAACAATCTCACATTTATGTTACTGTATTGTGAAACAGCACAGTAGACACTATTATTGTATTTTGCCTGTGTTTGTTTGTCTAATGGTTATAAGAATATTTTAATGACATCTGCTGCATATATGTAATTGACACTGGTAAACAACGAAACAAGTCCATATTTACTTTACTGCAACAGAACTGTCATTGATCCTTCCCTTACACAAAACTCTTTTGCATTATTCAACCAATTACCCTGCATGATATGCTGAAACTTCCTATTTCCCTTAAATATTTTGCAAGTGTATGTTACATTTTGGGAAATGGTGTTGTTTAGTGAAGTGTAAATTGTGTTTATTTGATTTTGGTTTCTTCTATGTAGTGTGTAACAAAGAAAATTAAAATAAATCCAGTTACTATGGTGAAATATCTTTAAAAAGAGAGTCCAAACTGAGAGTTCATGACTGGATCCAAAACGCCAGCTCTTGTGGGGTGTGTTTCTGGTATGCAGTGGTTAGAACCTAACAACAGGTGTAACGGCGTCAGGGTCATGGGCTCTTTGATGCATGTGGGCAGCGAAGGCTAGCCCATCTTGTCCAGACACAGATGAGGTATACTGTAGTTCAAATTGCTGAACAACTTTATGCTAGCCACGATGAAAGATGTCAGTGCCACCACTGAAAGTGCCTGCAATGGGCATGTGTCAGAACTGGACCATGGATCAAAGAAAGAAGATTGTCTAGTCTGATGAATGATGTTTTCATTTAGATCAGATGGATGGCTGGGTGCATGTGTTTCGTTTACCTCAGGAGGAGATGGCAGCAAGATGCACTATGAGAAGACAGCAGGCTGGCAGAGGAAGTGTTATGCTCTGGGCAATGTTCTGCTCGGAAACCTTGATTCTTGGCATTCATGTGGATGTAACTTTGAGAAATAATACCTACCTAAATATTGTTGTAGACCACGTACATCCCTTCATGGCAATGGTGCTCCATGATGGCAGTGGCCTCTTTCATTAGGATAATGCACCCTACCACACTGCAAAAATTGTTCAGGAATGGTTTGAGGAACATATCAAAGTGTTCAAGGCTTGGCTTCCAAAAACCCCAGATCTCAATCTGATTTAGCATCTTTAGCAGGGGTGGCCAACGTCGGTCCTAGAGAGCCACAGTTCTGCAGACATCAGCTCCAACCCTAATCAAACACACCAGAACAAGCTAATCAAGGTCTAAGGGTTACTAAAAGCAACAGGAAGGTGAGTTTTATCAAGGTTGGAAGGAAACTCTGCAGGACTGTGGCTCTCCAGGACCGACGTTGGCCACCCCTGCTCTATAGGGCATGCTGGACCAACAAATTCTATCCATGAAGGCCCCACCTCACAACTTTCAGGACTTAAAGGATCTGCTACTAATGTCTTGGTGCCAGACACCCCAGGACATGTTCAGAGGTCTTGTGGAGTCCATGCCTTGATGCATCAGACCTGTTTTAGCAGCACGAGGGGGACCTATACAGAACATTACTGGAAACGGTTTAAACAAGGTTTTACATGCTTGTTCAATGAACCATAAACAATGATTGCACATGGACCAGTGGAACAGTTCTTTAGACACTTTTATGGTTTACAGGCAGCAGACAATTAAGGTCAGTTACAATAACTTGAGAGACCTTTCTACTGACTCTGAAAAGCACCAAAAGATGTCCAGGCTCCCTGAACATGCCATACTTCTGCTGTAAGGAGAACATGACGACTGCAGGTGTGCCCAGAGCAAAAAACTGCAATGTCCATAACACAAGATGCCTAAGACAGCTGATCATCTTTGCAATGTCAAATCACATGTAATCTTGTGTCCTCCCATGTTCAAGAACTTGCAATTGCCTTGGTGGAAAACTGGTGCAGACCATGTGGAAAAGATGCACTATAGTATTTATAGCAGCTGGTGGCCACAGAAGATCCCGACTGCTACTTTTAATATTGCCCTCACCCCGTTCATCCATATTTAACAAAAAGTTATAAATGTGAACTTTGGGGGAAAAAAGCTTGATTCAAACTTTGTAAAAAATGCTTTAAATGCACTGAGTGCCATTTATATTAGTTCTGAAATGGGGTTTAAATGGAAACACAAAATTAGGAAGTGTAAAACAAGTTACTGTGTCATTTTGCCTTAAAGCTCATTTTATTTATGTTCAAGTAACCTGACCTGTTCTTTTAACTTGTATGAAATTTAAATTAGTTTCTCACTCAATATTTCAAGATAAGTGCAATAACTTGCTTGTGTAATACAAAATCAAAATCAAAAGTCCTACCTACTAACTTAATCTTTTTTTTTTTTTTTTTAGTTCTGCTAATTTAGGATTTAATGTAAGAGTTTGTTTGCACTTGTGATGGTGAATTCAAGTTCACATACTTCCCTTAACACAGAGCTTGTTACTGTAAAAGACAATAAAATACAAATTGTACAATAACAACTTCCTACATAATATAAATTTTGATGGACAATATACAATACAACTCCGTTTCAATCAATCTGAATGCAACAAAAACCAAGTCTTTTAGCACTTAAAAAAAAAAAAAGAATCTTACAAAATCCTACATAATATAAATTTTGATGGACAATATACAATACAACTCCGTTTCAATCAATCTGAATGCAACAAAAACCAAGTCTTTTAGCACTTTAAAAAAAAAAAAGAATCTTACAAAATGTTCAAACAAATCTTTACAAAACATTGCAATCCATTGTATAAATTTTCTTCTTTTTACTTCTAATAACCTCCCCATTCTTAAGAATCCTTATGAAGAAAATTCAAACAGATGGTACAAAAGTAAAATATTTCTGTCCATAAGATAAAAAAGGAATTTCAGTCACGAGGGAGTAGGTGGTTATAGAGAATAATTACATGTATTTTTTTCTCTTCAAATAGACAATTGACAAACATTGAAAATGAAAGCGATGATGAGTTTCAGAAACATAGTATGCAACTCCATATGTCCATGGGATCAGGTTGTTTAAGTTATTGGTTTATGAGTGTACTTCATCTCTGAGGATGAGATTGCTAATAAAGAGAGACAAAACCACATTCAGTGTTTATGGTTCTTGGGGTTTAATGCTGGGTTCTGTGTCCACTTTGTGCTCACTGCTCTGGGCAGAACCACTGGTAACATCAGTCTTGGACCTCTTGGATTCAGGAGGTTTGCATGCTGGGTCGCTGGGGGGAGATGGTCTCTCTGTGATGAACAAATATTTATAAATGACCGGTAAGACCGTGTGCACAAATATACAAACAACAACAATTAATTTACATGCTTCTTACCCAAAAAGTAACCAAAGTAATGACAGCAAAATATGAACAAATAAGGTTAAATACAGTCTTTTAGGCAACTCAAAATGAGATGGAAAAACTAATGCTTTTCTGAAACAAAGAAAAAATTATCAATATTTAAGCAAGCATTGAAAAACAACATCAACTTAAATTTTTATTTTTTACAATTACAATTAATTTTACTTGCATAAAAAGCAAAACTTAAAAGCATGGGTCTACCAACCATGTTTGGCTTTCTCAGTGGAAGATGGGGTGACAAAAGCAGTGGGGGATTTGGAGACAACTGGAGTCAATGAAATTCGTCTGAAAGAAAAAAAGTACATACTTGATCCATTGTGCACATCATCTTTACTGCTCAGGCCAGGGATTAGGCTGTAACACTACATTTATATAATTTCAGGGATACATGCATGGGTTGCCATGACAGACCAAGAAACTGAGAAATTCTGTTAAAGTTGTAAAATTACTGACACAAATTTGTTGTCACAAACACTGAATAGAATATTCAGCTGAATAGAAGTATTCTTTCCTTTAAACAACAACAAAAAAATCATACTGACCCCAAAGTGAATGCAAGCATATGGTTACAAAATGTTACATCAGATCATACCACACATGTGCTGCCCTACCGAGGAGTTGGTCCTTTTGGAGTTGTGGTATTTTTGGAGTTGAGGGGTCCCAGGGGAGTGCTAGGGGCTGTAAGAGGTGTAAGGGGTCCTCTGCTGGATCCAGGGGTGGAGGGAGCAGATTTGGGTGTGTTGGGGGCTGTACTGGGGGTAGTTGCCGGTGATTTGGGGGTGCTGGGTTTGCCCCAGCCCTCCAGGGTATTGAGTGTGATCCTTCTAGGCTGAGGTTTGGTTTTCAGTGCTTGAGGTGTGCATTTATCTTCTGGACCAGATACGCTGGGGGTCTTGGAGGACGCGGGGCCAGCAGATCCCTCTTTCTCCTTTTCCTGTGCAGCAGGTGTGTTGGCCTGGCGAGGGATCGGGGAAGCAGTCCTGCCATTAGCTGAGGGTCTCTTGCCTTTCTTCTCATTAGTAGAGGATGGAGTCACCATCTCCAGTGGAGGTCGCTCTTTCAATGGGGTGCCTAGCTCCCCTTCCTCAAAC